GAGAGAGAGAGAGAGAGGGAAAGCGAGAGAATGAAAACGAATTTGTCGTTGGCCGCGGATGCAACACGATGCGTCGTGCTGCGGCGCAACAACCTGTTCGATGACTTTTCCGTTTGATGATTGCAACAAGTGAGGCCCACCGCCACCGTGCTCTCTCCCGCGCTCTCCCAAACCATTTTACCACCGACAGCCACTCCCCGTTTCGCATTCAACAAGTGGCCAAATCATTCAGCGCGGGGCCGCGATCTCTCGAAAAATCACAATTTTTGTTACCACTCGGTCTAGTCATCGATCTATCTATCGGGATGAGATAAAGTTCCTCGCGGGGGATGGCCGGCGAGGACGCTGTACGGTCAGGGCGAGCAGCGTCTCCGAAAATCGGGTGTCTCCCCGTGCGAGATCATTAACGTTGATATCGAGGTTGCAGCGTCTTTTCGTGTATAGCTTATTTTTGTAGTAGCCGGTATTTTTATTTTCGACTAAAATCTACACACGTAAGAGGGCCTCTCGCGTAATAATAGTATTCGGCGGCTCGCTCGTAAGAAGTGCGCGAGGCGCATCCTTTCGAAATTCGATTGACGCCCCCTTCGCCGCAACGTAATCATTACTGTCATAGGAAAGCGCCGATCTTTTCCTCCGTAATTTCAGTCGGCGCGCCAAGTGCCATTGGTGGTGTGTGTGTGTGTGTGTGTATAGAGCTGTGTGGCATTCTCTCTTTCTCCTTCCCTCTCTTTCGAGGAGAAACCTGTGGTGGTGGACTCGAACGAACCTCGTGGTATCTGGTGGAATGGGTCTCATTAACGACGCCTTCACAGCCCTTCATCCTTGGCTCTTCAGGCCCGCGCTTTCGTCCCTCTATCCCTCTCTGTCTTTCTCGCTGTCTCTCTCCCTCTCTTTTCTGTCTTCTCTCGCCCCCGCTCGAGACGCCCGTCTTTTATACCTGGCTGCCCCTTGCTCGCATTTCTGGGCTTGGTTCCGTGTGTTTGCGTGCGCCTTATGTGCCCGAAGGCCATTCGACGCTGCTGGCTCCTTGTCATCTTCGACTTTAAGCACGTCGTGGCTTAATGTGTTTCCAAAGGTATCCGACGAAACGAGAAACTCTGGCGTGCTTTTTGGCCAACAGCCTACCGCAGACATTTCTATAATGCCGTAACATCTCAAAGGAGAAAACTTTGAAATATTTACAGGCGAAGCCTTAAGCATTGAAAAAGATCTTGCGCTATTAATCTAACCATAATGATGATTATGATGATATCGATGATCTTGTTTGAATCATAAGTACATTAGGATCTATTCTGAAGAGAAAATTACGTCGCTATATTACTTATAATGTGTACTACTACGTGAAATATCGCGCAAGTTGAAGTTAATTTATAACATGACGCATGCTGGTTTATCGTTTTGTTTTTTTACAAAGATTATTATAGTTTTTGATAGTGAATGTTTTTCCCGACAGGGAAAACCAGTTGCCCGCGTTTGTAGACGCAGACACGGTCGATTCATTTATTCGTATTAATAACCTGGAATCCGCACGTGGACGACTGACTGGTCCCGGAGCTAAAAAGATTAAACACAATGCCACAAAGTGACAGCAGGCTGCTTGCCGCGGATGCGGCTTATTCGTCGCGAGCGCGTTCTACGGACGATATTAACGCCCACGTGCGCGCGTATCCTCCTCTATCGCGTCCACATTGTCGTGTATATATAGCTAATTGAATCTCATCGTTTCCCCAACTCCTTTTTTCTTGCAGGGTGGCGGCGGTAGCGGCGGGGCTGCTGGCGGGCTGAAATTCACGGTGGCGGACACTTGCGAGAGGATCAAAGAGGAATTCAATTTCATCCAACAGCAGTACCACTCGTGAGTATCTTTCTTTCTTTCTTTCTTTCTTTCTTTCTCTCTCTCTCTCTCTCTCTCTCTCTCTCTCTCTCTCCTC